CGTGAGGATTTTCTTCGTCTCCTACAAAAAATTAAAAAAAAAAAATTTCATTTTAAATTTAATATAATTTTCAAACCCAATAGCAATTCAATAAAATTTAACCCAAATTTTTACAACCTAACCCAACCCAACCCAACCCAATCCTTTTAACCCTAATTAACCTTAATCATTTCTCCAATTCTCACACTACCTTTGCCTCCTCTTACTCTCGGACTCTTTGTGTCTCTCACTTAGGTCACTTTCGACCTTTCCCTTCGGCTCTTCCCTAAGAATCTCAAACCTTAAATCCCATGCTACATTGCTTCTGCGCCCTTGCTGCGTCACTATTGCACCGCTACTGCGCCATTGCTCATAGTCGAAGTCGAAGTTGATCTGTGGATTGTTGAATTGCCTCTGTGACTGCTGCTAAGCTGTTGAACTGTCTCTACTGCTGGACCACTCTACCTATAGTTACAAGCTACAGATTCAAATGGTAAGAAGTTTAAATAATTTATTTATGAGTTGATTTAACATAGAGAACGTCTAAATTTTTTAGAATTTGCTAGATTTATGTTTGGAACAACTTATGTTTGATTAATCTTTATTTACATTTGAAATAAATTTATTGATTTAATTATTTATGTTAAATTAATTTTTATTTATATTTAATGTAAAAAATATATATTTAGATATTAATTGATGAAAAATAAAAATAAAAAAAAAATTTACACCCCTAAAAAATCTTTGCGAGAATCCATATTTCCGTCATTTGCGGGACCCCCGTTGACATCTTATTAGAGGTAGATATCCTTCTCCTTGAAACCAAACTTGCGTGGCCCAATACAGAATCAATGCGTTGCCTGGAGAGTGCAGTAGGCGAGAGGCTCTGGGGACCACTGCTGCTGTTTCTTTAAATACCGCATGCTTTCCTTTTGCTTGCCACTTCCAGTGAATCGAAAAGGGGGATGTCGATTGTCGACCCCTCCCACTGACTTAAAGTACTTTAGAATTTTTCCATTTAAGATTTGCATTTAATATCAGGTGGTAAATGTCCGAAACCCCCTCAGTGCATGAAAATATTATATTCGCCTCTGAAACATATGAAATCCTTTTCTTCTTTGGCCACGAAAGACACCAAATATTTAATGTGCATTCATCTCGTATATGGTATAAATAAATATAGGAGTTATCTATTATGTGCCCTAATTTCATAGGATAAGAAATAATGATTGAATAATTATTGATTAATAATTATTATTTTTATTTTAAAAGTGATGAAGTTGATTTTTAATTTAATTGTAGATGTTATATGTTAATTTTTATGGTTTATTTTAAAAAGAAAAAAAAGAAAAAAAGAAGTTAGTTTCTAATTTAAAATTTCAAAATTTTTAAGAAAAAATACTACAATTATTACCTAATAATAACTTTTTATCTTATGCTATCATAAGGATATATGTTAAAAGTATAATAAATATATTTTTTTATAATTAATATACCTTAAAAATTGTAAAAGTTGATACATATTTTAATATCACCGACATGTGAATAACTTTAATCAGTTTTGGATAATTAAATCAAAATTAATATTTATATTTTTAATAAAATTAATTATAAAAATGTATATTTATTACACTTTTATCTTGTGATTTTAAGACATATGATAAAAGAATCTATAAATATAATCATATTAAAAGCTACATACGTATTCAATCCGCATAAAATAATAATAAATAACATATTATTTCTTTACTCATAAAGAATTTAGTTTATCTATTTAATGAGGCCATTTTTCAACTTGTATTCTAAAAACCTTAATTTTAATAAAAAAAATACAAAAATTTATATATAAACGGATAATATTGTTGTATTTTGCATACAAACCCATTTAGATAACTATAAGCCAATTTATATAAATTGATAATAACTTGACTGGCTATCAAAAATAAGTGAATTTAAGTATATAGGTAAAAAAAAAAAATGAATTTATTTTTTTCTCATGTTGTATTATAAATACAAACCAGTTTAGACAGATTTCAACCAATTTATATAAATTGATAATAACTTGAATTGCTATGCAAAGTAAGTGAATTTAAATATATAGTTCATAAAAAGGGGATTTATTTTTCTAGTAATATAATTTCAATTTTTTTTTTGTATTAACCTCCTAGTATTCAAAAACCATATTGAACCCTAACTAATCTGGAATCGAGTCAGATTGGACCCCATATGGAAGAAGGTCTCTTAGCACCTATTTTTATATTCAAGAGACTCGAACTTGAGATATTATTTAAAGGGAATCAAGTTCCTTCTACTCAGACCAACAAGTTATTGGTCTCAATATAATTTCATTACAAAGACATATCACGCCCTTAATTGATACCTTTCAAAAATTCCAAAGTTAAGCTTGTTATTTAAGCAATTCATTAAATTAACAGACTACATTGTACTCATGTTACAATATATCTAAAATCGTCTTAAAACTGTGGACAACACTGGAAATGGAGTCGAAATTACTTATTATTCATTACCTGTGTTACAAGTATGAATCTATACTCAAACCTAGCATGGAATATGTAGCCAAAGTTATAGAAGTATTGTATACTAACACCCTAAGTCTATTTGCAATTAATAATTACTACAATCGACCCAAGTAATAAAATGAGTGAGATGATTAATGACCACCATCCATTTACGAACCATGTATTATGGTGCCATTATATGTTGAATAACTGAACACTTTAGTAAAATAACTTAGTTGATTTGGGAGTTCATTTTCCAATTCTATTTGACTTTGCCTCGTTGAAACAACACAAATTATAATAACTGCTGCACAAAATTGAACCAAATCTATTTCATTTGGGTGGAAAGGATGTAGGACCCAAAATAAAATACACAATTTGAAACCTTAAATTTTCATACCCAAAAGCAAAGGATAAAGCAGAGTTCAATTACATACATAAAGAAGTTAAAAAAGCCAAAAAGGAAAAACAAATTTGGCAATAGACAGAAGTAAACTTTCTAGAGGTGAGGAAATATTTTACAACGCCTCACTTAAACATAACACGAACTTGTTATTGATGATAATGACCCATTCACAGATCCTTAACCCCTGTGGCCAAGCACCGAAAAGATCCACTTCCAATCACAATTGTCACCAAAGCGGAACGCAATCCAGCTGATAGTGAAATTGGAAAAAAAATTAAAGCAATAACAGGAGAAAATTTAATGGGTTTGCACCGACATTGAGTATACATGTATGTAAATTCAATAAAACATATTTTAAAAAATAGAATTAATTACCTTTGCATAGTGAATAAAACTGGAAGTTCACTGAGTCCTTCAGTGAATACAATTACCAAAAAATATTTCGTTGTGATGGCTCCTTCAGCAATTGCCATTATTATCAATCATCTTCATCAAAATGGCCATTGGGCATCTGGGTTAGGGGTGGAAGATGCTCGATAGGAAGTGAGGAAGAGTATGGCGAACACCTCCTGTACTTGATCTCCATAAGCTTTGCAACAGGAGAATGGTGCCACATACATTCTATACTGAACATATTCAAGGACATGTACCAGGCTCGAAAGATTTACCTATTTCGCGACTTGTCCGGGTCACTTAAGTCATACCACAATGCATGGTTCAAGATAAGCGTCCCGCTGCGACCAGTAAGGATACCATGAGTTGTTTTCAGCCCAAAGCTTCTATTGTAGCACACACTTAATAAGGTCATTTCACCTACCGTTGCTATGCACAAAGTTCCTTAAATCAATGACCTCAAAAACTTGAGGGGTTGTACTCCACCTCACCGTGCCTAACTAGCTGCAATTTTCTGCTGCAAATTAGCACTATGAATTAAGTTAGGTCATGAACAAAGTTCCTCCATTTAGATTGTGGGAGTAAGCAGTTAAGAAATTGAATCAGATTGTCATATGCATCCAACTGAACTTCTGGGATTGGCTCGTTCAAACCAAGAATTTCCTTTAGGTGTGGCATCTCCAGCTCGATTACTATTGTGTGACTGGCCAGAGCACACCTTAGTGTTGTGAATAGAGGTTTCGAGAAAGGATACAGAAATGGCTTAAGCACAGTCATGTATAGGTATTTTGGATGGATCATGTCTAGCATAAGGGCCTGATCTCCATGTCATCTATAGAACATAACTTTAAACTGAATGAGATCATATTTGGTTAATGATGCCAGCACCTTCTCGGTAACATCTGATTGGATCTCCATTGGTAGGTCCGCTACCTTTAAGAGGATTATCGAGATGTTAACGATGGAAGAGGTGGTCATTGCTACCATTTGCAAGTGAAAGAAAGATGTGGATAATTGAGATTATAGTAGGAAAGATAATAAGGTGAGAGTTAGATAGATGTAGAGGACGGTTTGCTTGGGGAAGACTTAATAATTGATAACATTGCTTTTGAACTCAAAAAAGGGGTTAAAAGTAGATGAAAGGTTGGTTTATGTATTAATTTTTAATTATACAAACAGGTTCATTCACTAACTCGATTAGAGTGCCCTCGTATGAAAAAAGAAGTAATGTTCATTGATGGCAGCGATGGATGGATCATGTCTGGCATAAGGGCCCGATCTTTGTGTCATCTATAAAACATAGTTTCAAACTGAATGAAATCATCTTTGGCCAATGATGCCAGTGCCTTCTTGGTAACATCTGATTGGATCTCCACTAATATGTTCGTTACTTTTGAGAGGATCGTCAAGATGCTAGAGATGAAAGAGCTGGTTATTGCTGCCATCTGCGAGTGGAAGAAGGATGAGGATAACTAAGATATAGTCAGAGAGATAATACGGTGAGAGTTAGATAGACGTAGAGAATAGTTTGTGTAACACCCCACGTACCTTTAGTGAATAATTTAAAAATTAGTGCCTTTTAGTTTATAGTTTTAAGGATTAAATTGATTGGATTTAAAGTTTGGGGGTTTTAAGCAAAACTTAGCAGAAGTTGAATGACCATAACTCAATTATCCCAATTTCACTTATTGTCCCAACCAAGTTTTTTTTCTTGGTCAGTGGAAGCTTGGATAAGCCTCCAGAAAGCTCCCAAAAGCCCCATTTTGTTTTCCTATGCCTTCCTCTTCCACCTACATCCTTTTCTTCCTCCTTTCTCCAACCAAGGTTAAGGTGCTTTTGTTAGGTAAATATAAGTTTTAGTTATGAATCTTGGGTTAGAGTTTTGGGTAGTTTAAATTGGTGAGATTTGACTTTAATCATTTAGTTTATAAGATTTTTGGGTATTAAACTTTTATTAGAAATATCCTTAATTTTGGGGCTTATATGGCAAAGATAGTGAGTTAGTCCTTTCTATTGTTTGATTTGGGTGTGATTTTTGCTGCAGGAATTAGAAGGAAATTGTATTGTTTACGAATTACTGTTCATGATTACTGTTCACGATTATGCTTTGATCTCTTTCAATAGGAAGTCCTAATATTATTTTGGACATATTATGAATTTGTTTGATATGTGTATGTGTTTGTGGTTATGGAGTAAGTGAACCTAAGCTTAAAGCTTGGGGTATTCAATGGACCCTTCGGGGTATTTAGTGGACCTCTGCGCAGTAGGGTTAGTACTGTGATTAGTTCCGGTACAGTGTTGCTAGCACACCTCAGTGGACTCCATAGCATTGTGTGATTTTTGATTTTATGCATTGCGCTTGTGATATCGTATTTGTGAGCATATGATTTTAGTATATGAATTCAATTTAAATGTCATTGATTATTACTTGACATTTGTGCTTATGACTTGAGATATGAAGTCGTTATTTAAATAGTGAGAATTATACTGTTATGCGATTTGATTCCATTGTGTTTTATGCTCTTTGTGTGGATAGGTCTAAGGGTCTTAGGACCCAAATTTATAGCTTAAACTTATTACTTACTGGGCTGTGAGCTCATAAAATTCCCCCCCCCCAAATTTCAGATCAGTAGATTGAGGTAGCAGCCTTTTGGTTTAGGAGCTTTTGGCACGTGACTCGCATGCTCGTTGTATGTACCAGCTAGGGCCTCGTGTTTTCGATAAGGAGGCAGATCAATGTCTTACCAAAACCACGACTCAGCTTTTGTTTTTTGAAAAGTTTTGAAGAAGAATTTGTCTCATATAATTTTTGTGTAAATTATCTTTATGTATAAATCTTTGAATTAATTATAAATGAGCTTAACTCAGTTTATCTTATAACTTTGAATATTTTGGTATTTTCCAATATATATATATGATATTCTTTTTATTAAATTGATTTTCTGAATGTAGGCTTTCTTTTGAAGAAATATTTTATATCATAAGTGTTTTTACTTCCGCTGCAATTCTTTACTATAAATTTTGTTTCCGAACTCTTCTAGGACTAAGAGTGCCTAGGGAGGTGTGTTATAGTTTGTCTGGGAAAGGCTTCATAATTGATAACATTGCTTTTGAACTTAAAACAAGGGGTTACAAGTAAGTGAAAGGTTGGTTTATGTATTAATTTCTGATTATACAAGTAGATTCATTCCTTGACTTGATTAGAGTGCCCTCATATGAAAAAAGAAGTAATGTTCATTGATGGCAACAACTATTTGATGGTCAAAAGGTCGAAGACTATAGATGGAGTTGGACGGGCCATTAATTCCATTTAAGTATAAATGTAATAGGAAAATGATTTCGAGACAACATCTTTGTACCATATTTTGGTGAAACTTGATGTGTCATTTAAATGATTAATTTTTTTCATTTATCTAATACTTGTGATATTGCATGCATTCACTCATTTAATAATATAAACCAACCTTTCACCTACTTTTAACCCCTCGTTTTGAGTTCAGAAACAATGTTATCAATTATTATGCCCTTTCCAAGCAAACCGTCCTTTATGTTTATCTAACTCCCACCGTATTATCTTTCCGATTATATCTCAATTATCCTCATCCTTTTTCCACTTGCAAATGGTAGCAATGACCAACTCTTTCATCCCCAATATCTTGACGATTCTTTCAAAGGTAGCATACCTACCAGTGGAGATCCAATCAGATGTTACCGAAAAGGCACTAACATCATTGGCCAAAGATGATCTCATTCAATTTGAAGCTATGTTTTATAGATGACATGGAGATCAGGCCCTTATACCAGACATGATCCATCCATCACTACCATCAATGAACATTACTTCCTTTTTCATACAAGGGCACTCTAATGGAGTCAGTGAATGAATTTGCTTATATAATTAGAAATTAATACATAAACCAACCTTTCACCTACTTTTAACCCCTCGTTTCAGAAGTAATGTTATCAATTATTAAGTCCTCCTTAGACAAGCCGTCCTCTATGTCTATCTGACTCCCACTGTATTATCTTTCTGACTATATCTCAGTTATCCTCATCCTTTTCCACTTGCATATGGCAGCAATGACCAGCTTTTCCATCCTCAACATCTTAACAATCCTCTCAAAGGTAGCGGACCTACTAGTGGAGATCCAATCAGATGTTATTGAGAAGGCACTGGCATCATTGGCCAAAGATGATCTCATTGAGTTTGAAGCTATGTTTTATATATTGCATGGAGATTAGGTCCTTATGTTAAACATGATCCATCCATCGCTGCCATCAATGAACATTACTTCTTCTTTCATACGAGAGCACTCTAATCGAGTTAGTGAATGAACCTGCTCGTATAATCAGAAATTAATACATAAACCAACCTTTCACCTACTTTTAACCCCTTGTTTTGAGTTTAGAAGCAATGTTATCAATAATTAAACCCTCCCCAAGCAAATCGTCCTCTACGTCTATCTAACTCTAACCTTATTATTTTTCCAACTATAATTTCAGTTATCCAGATCCTTCTTCCACTTACAAATGGCAACAATGACCAGCTCTTCCATCTCAACATCTTGACGATCCTTTCAAAGGTAGCGGACTTACCAGTAGATATCCAATTAGATGTTACCGAGAAGGCACTAGTATCATTGGCCAAAGATGATCTCATTCAGTTTGAAGCTATGTTTTATAGATTGCATGAAGATCAGGCCCTTATGCCAGACATGATCCATCCATCACTGCCATCAATGAACATTACTTCTTTTTCATACGAGGGCACTTTAATCGAGTTAGTGAATGAACCTGCTTGTATGATTAGAAATTAAGACATAAATCAACTTTTCACCTACTTTTAACCCCTTGTTTTGAGTTCAAAAGCAATGTTATCAATTATTAAGCCCTCCCCAAGCAAACCATCCTCTACATCTATCTAACTCTCACCTTATTATTTTTTTAACTATAATCTCAGTTATCCACACCCTTCTTCCACTTGCAAATGGCAGCAATGACCAACTCTTCCATCCCCAACATCTTGACAATCCTCTCAAAGGTAGCGGACCTACTAGTGGAGATCCAATTAGATGTTACCGAGAAGGCGTTGGCATCATTGACCAAAGATGGTCTCATTCAGTTTGAAGCTATGTTCTATGGATGAAATGGAGATCAAGCTCTTATGCCAGATATGATCCATCCAAAATACCTATACATGACTGTGCTTAAGCCACTTCTGTATTCTTTCTTGGAACCTCTTTTCACAACACTAAGGTGCGCTCTTGCCAATCACAGAATAGTGATTGAGTTGGATGTGCCGTACCTAAAGGAAATTCTGGGTTTGAACGAGCCAGTCCCAAAAGCTCAATTGGATGCATGTAACAATTTGATTCGATTTCTTAATTGCATACTCCTCCAATCTAAATGGAGGAACCTTGTTCATGACCTAACGTGATTCATAGTGCTAATTTGCAGCATAAAATTGCAGCTAACTAGGCATGGTGAGATGGAGTACAACCTCGTTTTTGAGATCATTAATTTGAGGAACTCTGTGCACAACAACGGTGGATGAAATGACCTTATTAAGTGTGTGCTGCGACGGAAGCTTTGGGCTGCAAACAACCCACGGTATACTTATTGGTCGGAGTGGGACGCCTGTCTTGAACCATGCATCGTGGTATGACTTAAGTGACCCAGACAAGTTGCGAAATAGGTAAATCTTTCGAGTTTGGTACATGTCCTTGAATATGTTCAGTATAGAATGTACATGGCGCCATTCTCCTGTTGTAAGGCTTATGGAGATCAAGTACAGGAGGTTGTTTTCTCAGTGTTCGCCATACTCTTCCTCACTTCCTATCATGCATCTTCCACTCCTAACTCGGATGCCCAGTGGACATTTTGATGAAGATGATTTATAATAATGACAATTGCTGAATGAGCCACCACAACGAAATCTTTTTTGGTAATTGTATTCACTAAAGGACTTAGTGACCTTCCAATTTTATTCACTATGCAAAGGTAATCAATTTTATTTTATTTTTTAAAATGTTTTATTAAATCTACATACATGTATACTCAATGTTGGTGCAAACCCATTAAATTCTCCTGTTATTGTTCCAATTTTTTTCCAATTTCACTACCAGCTGGATTACATTCTGCTTTGGTGACAATTGTGATTAGAAGTGGATCTCATCTATTTTTGTTAATGAAATCTTCGGTGCTTGGCCATAGGGATTAAGGATCAGTGAATAGGTCATTACCATCAATAACAAGTTTGTGTTATGTCTGAGTGAGGTGTTGTAAAATATTTCCTCACCTCTAGAAAGTTTACTTTTATCTATTGCCAAATTTGTTGTTCCTTTTTGGCTTTTTGAACTGCTTTATGTATGTAATTGAACAACCCTAATTGAACTTTGCTTTATCCTTTGCTTCTGGATATGAAAATTTAAGGTTTCCAATTGTGTATTTTATTTTGGGTACTACATCCTTTCCACCCAAATGAAATAGATTTGGTTCAATTTTGTGAAGCAGTTATTAAATTTGGTGTTGTTTTAACGAGGTAGAGTCAAATAGAATTGGAAAATGAACTCCCAAGTCAACTAAGTTATTTTACTGAAGTGTCCAGTCACTTAACATATAGTGGCACCATAATACATGGTTAGTAAATGGATGGTAGTCATTAATCATCTCACTCATTTTATTAGTTAAGTCGGTTGTAGTAATTACTAATTGCAAATAGATTTGGGGTGTTTGTTATACAATATATATTATGATCAGTTAAAAATGAAGCAAAAATGTAATAAAAATATGTTAAATTTGGATATATATATATATGTATATGATAAATAGATGATTTCATTTTGTTTACACAATAAATTATAAAATTTTAAGATAAAGTCACGTGTGAAATATTTTTTAGTGGATGGAGGAGAGCCAGGTCAGATTCGTAATTCTGAGTCCCATGACAGATCAGCTGTCATTTTGGCAAAAAAGAGGAGATAAAGATGAGGTTTTACTGTGTGATTATCTCTTGGAGGTAAAAAGGGACTATTTGAGCTAAAATGTAGGAGAGGATTGCAGTTAAAGAAGGGTTTTATCTAATAAGGATACAGATGACGAAAATCTGCAAGGAGATTAGACCAAGTCAATTAGTGAGCTGTCCCATTATCTCAAGAAACCACCCATGATTGTGTAACTGCAGAAAGTGGAGGTTACTGTTCGGCACAAGGAGAACAAAAAAGAAATTTTGGAAGGGGGAAAACACGGCCAGTCCTACTCAAACATTTTCAAAATTTCAGACTTTTATTTTCTCTGCAAATTGCTTCTAGATTTCGGATTTCAGCACAAATCTCGGTAGATTTAGGTTGTTTTTCATCATTCCAGTAAGCAAATTAATTCATGTATTCAGTTCAACAATTTCCTTTCATGCAATGAACTTCAATCTCTCAAGTTTATGCAAGGTATTGTTCTCTTTCTATTTGCAATTAATTTAATGTTTATGATAAGTACCATTTTATTCAATGATTACTTATGTGGTGTTCACACTTCTTTTCAACTTCACACATGTTAGTTTAATCATTGTTAATGTTAATTTTAATATTAATTAAGGTAAAATCTTTAATTCTGCAGCATTTTAATTTTCAAATCTGCCAGTAGATAGCATTTTAATTTAACAATGAACATGTTTAACTTAATTTGAGCATATTTTATTCTTGTAAATTTATTTTAAATTACAAGTTATTCAGTTCAATTAGGATTTGTTAATTTTAAGTCACGGTAGTGTTTAAGTCCTTGGAGTTGTCTATGGCAGATTTTGTAACCCATTCTGCAGGAATGTATCCCTCCCTCTTGCAAATCGTCTGTAGGTGTAGATTTCAATTTTAATCCAACGTTCTTCCCACCATCTGCAAAGAGGTCGACCGTGAAGAAGGAGAGGGTCATTGGGAAAGTCCTCCTTTCTTACTTTTAGCAAAGTAAGTGGCACGTCCGTATCTAGATTTCACATGTGCGAGGCCACTAGAGGATTTTTGGAGAAACAATCATTTTTTGGCACGCCCAGTGGGATATCACCTTGTCTTACTTATAGGTTTTAGATCCATTGTTCTTTTTTCCAAGAAAAAGTGTAATCATCCCACCAAAAAGAAACGTTGGGAAAGCTGCCTAGACTTTATAGATTGGGCTTGGTGAAGGCAATCCAGCACACTGAGAAGGAGAAAATGAGCCAATCATTCCACCACCATTGTCACCAATACTTGCGGAGCACTCTTTTGTCAATCCAACCTTCAACAAGGATAGTGAATCTGGAGATGATGTTGCTCAATCTGGTGACTCCCTTATGAAAGCTGTGTTAGAGCAGATTAGCATCATGAAGCGTACATAGTTAGAATCCGAGGAAAGAGCTCAACAAAGAAGCCAAGAAGTCGCTAGACAGTTGGATGAGTTTTTTCAAAAATTTGACCCAAAGTGTAGCTCAAAGTGTAGCCGACATGCGACACTCTAATGAAGAAAGTGCCAGAACAAAAAAGAAATTTTGGAAGGGAGAAGACACGACCAGCCCTACTTAAACATCTGTAAATTTTCAGACTTTTATTTTTTCTGCAAATTGCTTCCAAATTTCATATTTCAGCACAAATCTCGGTAGATTTAGATTTTTTTTTATCATTCAAGTATGCAAATTAATTCATATATTCAGTTCAACAATTTCCTTTCATGCAATGAACTTCAATCTTTCAAGTTTATGCAATGTATTGTTCTCTTTCTATTTGCAATTAATTTAATATTTATCATAAGTAGCATTTTATTCAATGATTATTTATGTGGTGTTCACACTTCTTTTCAACTTCAAGCATGTTAGTTTAATCACTATTCACGTTAATTTTAATGTTAATTAGGGTAACATCTTTAATTCTGCAGCATTTTAATTTCCAAATCTACCAGTAAATAGCATTTTAATTTAACAATGAACATGTTTAATTTAATTTGAGCATATTTTATTCTTGTAAATTTATTTTAAATTGCAAGTTATTCAGTTCAATTAGGATTTGTTAATTTTAAGTCATGGTAGTGTTTAAGTCCTTGGAGTTGTCCAAGGCAGATTGCGTAACCTATTCTACAGGAAGATATCCCTCCCTCTTGCAAATTGTCTATAGGCACAAATTTCAATTTTAATCCAACATTCTTCCCACCATCTGCAAAAAAGTCGACCGTAAGGAAAGAAAGGGTTGTTGGGAAAGTCCTTTCTTACTTTCAGCAAAGTAAATAGCACGCCCGCATCCAGATTTCACACGTGCAAGGCCACTAGAGGATTTTTGGGAAAACACATTCTTAACCAGAATTGCATGATGTGGAATGTGAAATTTATAAAAATAGTAATATCATATTATATTACTGTAATATTGATTGTCAAAATATCATTAAGAAAAATGATTGGTACATCATTCGATTCAACACACTTAACAACACCCTTTAGTTCAATTATTAAAATTTGTTTTTGAAAAATTTCCCAGTTCAAATTCAAATTTAAAAATATTAGTGTTTACACCATAAATTGCAAAATTTTAAATTAATGACACGTGTAAAATATTTTTTATTGGTTGGAAGAGATTGAGTCATGTTAGATTTGGATTCTGGGTCGCATGACAGATCAGCACTTGTGTTGGCAAAAGAGGAGAGGTAAAGATAATTTTTTATGCAGTAATTATCTTCTTGAGATAGAAAGGGATAATGAGAGCTAAAAAATAAGAGAAGATTGCAGTTAAAAAGGGGGTTTTATCTGATAAGAGTACAGGTGGCGAAATCTGCAAGGAGATTAGACCAGGTCAAAGGGTGAGTTGTCCCATTACCTCAAGAAACCACCTATAATTTGTAACTGCAGAAAGTGAGAGGTTATTGCTTGCCAAAGGAGAACAAAAAGGAAATTTTGGAAGGGAGAAGGGACGGCCAACCCTACTCAAACATCTGCAAATTTTCATACTTTCATTTTCTCTGCACATGCTTCCAGATTTCAAATTTCAGCATAGATTCTAGTAGAATTAGGGTGTTCTTCATCATTTTAGTAGACAATTTAACTTGTGTACTTGCTACATCAGTTTCATTTCATGCAATGAATTTCAACATTTCAAGTTTCTTCCAAGTACTGTTAATTTTCTGTCTGTAATTAATTTAATGTTTATTTTAAGTAGCATTGCTTCAATGATTACTTGTGTGGCTTTCATGCTTCTTTCCAACTTCAAGCTCTTCAATTTATTCACTGTTCGCGTTTAATTTTAGTGTTAATTAAGGTTAAATTTCCAATTTTGTAGCAATTTAATTTCTAAATCCGTCAATAGATAGCATTTTAACTTTACCATAAGCATGCTTAATTTAATTTCGGTACATTTCTTTCTCGCAAGTTTATTTTAAATTGCAGGTAATTTAGAATAATTAGGATATGTTAATTTTAAGTCACGGTAGTGTTTAAGTCGTTGGAGTTGTCTAAGGTAGATTTCGTAACCCAATCTGCAGGAAGGTATCCCTCCCTCTTGCAAATCGTCTGAAGGTGCAATTTCAATTTTAATCCAACGTTCTTCTCGCCATCCACAAGGAGGTCGACCATGAGGAAGGAGAGGGTCATTGGGAAAGTCCTCCTTTCTTACTTTCAGCAAAGTAAGTGGCATGCCCGCATCAAGATTTCACACGTGCGAGGCCACTAGGGGATTTTTGGGGAAACAATCCTTTTTTGGCATGCCAGTGGGACATCACCGTGTCTTACTTACAGTTTTTAGATCCATTGTTCTTTTTTCCAAGAAAAAGTGCAATTATGCCACCAAAAAGAAACGTTGGGAATGCTGCCCAGACTTCATAGATTGGGTTTGGTGAAGGCAGTCTAGCACACTCATAAGGGGAGAATGAGCCAATCATTCCACCACCATTGTCACCAATACTTGGGGAGCAATCTTTTGTCAATCCTACCTTCAACAATGATAGTGAATCTGGAGATGATGTTGCTCAATCTGGCGATTCCCTTATGAAAGCTGTGTCAGAACAGATTAGCATCATGAGGCGCACACAGTTGGAATCTGAAGCAAGAGCTCAACAAAGAAGCCAAAAGGTTGCTAGACAGTTGGATGAGTCTTTTCAGAATCTGGCTCAAAATTTGGCTCAAAGTGTAGCCCAAAGTGTAGCCCAAAGTGTAGCCGACATGCGACGATCTAATGAAGAAAGTGCCAGAATCTAGCGCGAGCAAAATGCAAAAAATTGGAGAGCTTTCCAAGCTAAAATAGAACGAATGCAAGAGGCATTTCGATGTGCCAGAATTGAACCTCAGCCACAAGCAACAGATCTTTAAAGGCAGAATTAGAATATTCCAGCTCCAACACTCGGGGGGCAAGTTAATTTGCCACAGTTGCCTCCCCAGATTCAGCGGGCAGCAGGCGGACCAGTGCAACCAGATCCTGTTGAGGCAGCACCATGTGCAGCAGATCTGGAAAATCACCAGCAACCCAGATATCTGCCACCTCCGTGCCGACAGAATGGAGGACATCAACAACATAATGCACCTCCACTAAGGGAGCATTTTCAACCTTATGTGCCACCCATGCAACAGAATCTTCAAGGTCTGCTAGGACAGTACATCAATTGTGATCAAATCATCGACATGGTGTATGAGGCTTATGATCTAGTTTTGAGGCCTCTAGTCAGACCAGCATACAGAAAACCATATCCAGATTTCATAGACTAAGAGAATCCTTTTCCATGGGGGTTCAAGGTTCTAGAATTCACTCTATTTTCTGGAGATGGTGGGTATTCTACAATTGAACACATAGGTCGCTTCACAATTCAGTGTGGTGAAGCCTCCGGTGATGATAATCTGAAGCTTAGACTTTTTCCCAGCTCATTAACTAGCACAACTCTCACTTGGTATCTGAGTCTGCCACAGAATTCAATTTATACTTGGAGGCAGATGGAAGATCTTTTCCATATCCAGTTTTACCGCAGTGAGTTAGAAGTGTCCATGGCCGATTTATCTCGTCTAGTGCAGCGACCTGGAGAAACATTTGAGGCCATTCTTGCTATATTTTGGGAGACCAGACTTAAGTGCAGAGTTGCCTTGCTAGAACAAGAATTTGTCAAGTTGGTACAAAATGGTCTGGACATTGAGTTAAGGAAAAAGTTTGAGGAAATGGAGTTTCGTGATTTCTTTGAGTTGTCTTACAAGGTGGCTCGTTATGAAAATTTATTGCGAGAAGACACACAAAGAAAATCTGCATCTCATGGGACTTATTATGGTGATGCTAACTTTGATCTGGACGTGACAGAAGTGGTGGTAGACAAGCCAGTTGTTTGCCCAGATCTAATTAAAGTGGTCCAGCATACCGACAAAACAATAAAACGTTATGTCAGAGAGGCTGGAAAATAATACACCTTTGACATTTCAAAGACTAATAAAATCTTTGACCACCTTAAAAAGAGTGGTCTAATTAAATTGCCACCGGGGCATAAAATCCCAATGGCTGGCAAAATTGGAAATAGAGAATATTGCAAATAACATAATTCTTAAAAACATTCTACTAATGATTGTGTGATTTTTCGGAATGTTTTACAAGATAAAATCGACAAGGGAATTATACGTTTTCCAGATAAGGCCAAAGAAACTATGGGAGTTGATGCAGATCCATTCCCTACCAAGGAATTTCTTAACTCTGAAATTTCTTAACTATTGGAGGAGCTTGGTTTCTTAACTCTGAAAGATTGGCTTCAAGGTTAGAAATTTCTTCTTTAAGCTCTTGGAGATGTTTAACTTGTGTGACATGAGCAACCTTCACTGCCAAGAATTCTTCCTTCTTCTTAAAGACAACAGCAGTGTTATCCACTATAGATTTTCTCACAGATTCTACAACCGCTACTTTGTTCTCAAGTACCTAGAATCTCTTGCTGAAATGTGTATAAATGGTAGTGAAATCTGCCTAGAACTTTTGTTGAGTAGAAAATAATTGTGGAGCTCGACTAAGGATCTGAGCCGCTTCAAAGGCGGCTGGTTGGTCTAGCACTTTGCAGAAATGAGAAGGATCACCATCAATGAGCTCTTGCAGGGTCATAATAGTAAAACTAATCTGCTCCTGGGTAGGGAGATCGATATCTGGATTCGCTTTTTCAGCAATAGCCTTCCCTTTGCTATCTACGACAGATCCTGATTTAACAGGAGGGTCCATCAACATGTCCAGCTGGGCAAGAAGCTCATTCTCCAAATCATCATCAATCATGGACACATCAGCAGCAACACTCTACAAAATTTGAAGACAAAAGATCAAAAAATAGCAACTAGCAGATACAGTGACAAATTTCAAGATCTAAGCAGATTTCAGAACAGTGAAACAACCTCAATGTCATCAACATCAACCTGCCTAACAGGAGAGGCTACAAGTGTAAGGGTATTCTCTTTGTCTGGGCTTAGATCGATAAGTTCATTCGGTTTAACTATTTTAAAGCTTTTGTTCGCTATGCGTGAAGAGAATCTAGAACCCCTAACCTTTGTGGCTGGTGAAGAACCATCACCAGATTTTGTATGAGAGGAGCCAGAATTGCTTTCGCCACTTCCAGTAGATATATCTTCAACAGGATCTATTGTGGCAACAGGTTCGAGAGAAACAGTAGATAAGAAAAATGATTGGTACATCATTCGATTCAACACACTTAACAACACCCTTCGATTTAATTATTAAAATTTGTTTTTGAAAAATTTCCCAGTTCAAATTCAAATTTAAAAATATCAGTGTTTACACCATAAATTACAAAATTTTAAATTAATGCCACGTGTAATATATTTTTTATTGGTTGGAAGAAATTAAGCCATGTCAGATTTGGATTCTGGGTCCCATGACAGATTAGCACTTGTGTTGGCAAAAAAAAAGAGGTAAAGATAATTTTTTATGGAGTAATTATTTTCTTGAGATAGAAAGAGATAATGAGAGCTGAAAAATAGAAGAAGATTGCAGTTAAAAAGGGGGTTTTATTTGATAAGAATACAGGTGGCGAAATCTGCAAGGAGATTAGACCAGATCAAAAGGTGAGTTGTCCCATTACTTCAAGAAACCACCCATGATTGTAACTGCAGAAAGTGGGAGGTTACTGCTTGCCAAAGGAGAACAAAAAGGAAATTTTGGTAAGGAGAAGGGACGGCTAGCCCTACTCAAACATCTGCAAATTTTCATACGTTAATTTTCTCTACACATGCTTCCAAATTTCGGATTTCAGCACAGATTCCAGTAGAATTAGGGTGTTCTTCATCATTTCAGTAGACAATTTAACTTATGTACTTGCTACATCAGTTTCATTTCATGCAATGAATTTCAACATTTCAAGTTTCTTCCAGGTACTATTCATTTTCTGTCTGTAATTAATTTAATGTTTATTTTAAGTAGCATTACTTCAATGATTACTTGTGTGGCTTTCATGCTTCTTTCCAACTTCAAGCTCTTCAATTTATTCACTGTTTGTGTTTAATTTTAGTGTTAATTAGGGTTAAATTTTCAATTCTGCAACAATTTAATTTCCAAATCCGTCACTAGATAGCATTTTAACTTTACCATAAGCATGTTTAATTTAATTTGGGTACATTTCTTTCTCACAAGTTTATTTTAAATTGCAGGTAATTTAGAATAATTAGAATATGTTAATTTTAAATCACGGTAGTGTTTAATTCCTTAGAGTTGTCTAAAGCAGATTTCGTAACCCAACTTGCAGGAAGGTATCTCTCCTTCTTGCAAATCGTCTAAAGGCGCAATTTCAATTTTTATCCAACGTTCTTTCCGCCATCCACAAGGAGGTCGACCGTGAGGAAGGAGAAGATCGTTGGGAAAGTCCTCCTTCTAACTTTCAGCAAAGTAAGTGGCACGCTCGCATCCAGATTTTACACGTGTGAGGCCATTAAAAGATTTTCGGGGAAACAATTCGTTTCTTAATGAATTAACCAAAATTTGTTATGCAGTGTGTTGAACCGAAAAATATATCAATTATTGTCCTATCATTAAATATTCATATAGAAACTAGCATTAAAATGGAAATAAGGGTGTTATCAACACCTATTTGGTACCGATGAAATCATAAAAATTAATAGAGAAAAAAAGAATGGAAACAATTAATGAAAGTTATTACCTGTAGTATACAAGATTCTGGTTTTAAAGGTTAAGTGTTGGAAGAAAGACATTGAGTTGAGAGAGTAAGAATTGAATTGCATTTATACTAAGATGGGCAGTTAAAGGTGAAACGGTATTATGATCTACATTGCTGATACCCACTTAAATGTAGCATTGCAACATACATTGGTGATAATGAAATTTTGCTGACATGGACTGCAATGCTAAATTATATGCATTGCTGGAAAACTTTCCAAGGCTTTTGGCAAGGTGATTTATGTTGGTAATTTCCAAAAAGCATATAGCATGGTATTACACATTGCTAATACTTGGTTGCTGAAAGTTGGATCTCTAGTAGTGTACTTCTCAATTACATGTAACATTATGTCAGCTAGTGACAATTAGAGATTAATTTAGGACGTGTGCTACTGATATAAATATAATACTATGCCTCTGTTATTCAGTAATTTACTTTCCTCACCGTCAATTTCTAGTCCTCGATGGAAGTCAGAGCATATCCATCATCAATCCCTCAAATTAGCCATACCTTGTTACTACCATTCTCTCAAAAACTTATTTCAAGATTAAGCCTAAATATTTTGATAAACAGTCTAAAGATATTTTTAGAATGAGTTAAGATTATTATTTTAAATGACATAAATAAAAAAAATGATAATAAATAAATTTAAACCAAAACCATAATATATTACCTTTTTTTCCCAATTCCATCAATTCAAACCATGGCAAAAACTTCTTTGCATGTTTTTCTTCTTTTTCTTCTTCATCTCTTAATGGAATAATTATCTGCACAATATACTACACAGGTATACAAATTAGAGATTGTTAACTAATTGGATTGAAAAGAAAAGGAGAGCTAGAACAGAAAGGAGGCTACCTTATGGTTTGTAGCTTTCAGGGGCAGAATTTAGTCCAAGACAAAGGAGTGTGCGTGTGAGGAAGTAAAGGAGAAGCAGAGAAAGATAATTTCAACTCTGACTCCCCTTCTCAGTCTCAATTCATCCGTTAGACTCATCTTTTATACTAGTACTAGTAAGAACCTAAGTTTATAAGGCGTAATGGAGACCATAGGATCCAATGTGAGGATTTCTGAACCCCTGGATCATTTTAACTCATACTAAAATTAAATTAAATTTTATTAAAATTTAATTT